ACCCGCGGGGAACATAAGCCTCGTGGGTAGTGTACCCGCGGGCGGAACCACGGGTGGGAGCCTACCCGTGGGTCCACCCGCGGGGAACACAATGGTGTTGAGATGGGATTGGTTCCCTGTGATTCGTTTGACTCGGTATTTGGTCTTTTGACTTCCCGATGTTCTTTTATAGAACTATTTGAGCGTCTTCTTGATGTTTTGTATGTCTAGAAATATACGGGAGGTATCCATGTAGGACTTTGGTGTCTTGAATCGTGCTAAGTGTCCAACATTGTGTTTCGTTCGACCAAGAGGTGTCTTGTGTGTTCCTCGGAACTATCTTGAGTTTCTCCGTTGTTAAGCATGCTAGTTTATTGTCTTAATGCTAGCGTGTGTGTGGTTTTTACCTTCCGTTTGGTTGATGATAACTTGTGTTATTCATCGTTGTTGTTGTTGGGCTGTGACCCGTTCCTTGATTGAGTATGTTTCATACTTTCGTTGTGATCCGTTGTTTGACTCTTGTTGAGTTGTGGTGCGTGTGTGGCTTTACCTGGATTGCACGATTAGTGGTATGGGACACTAGTCACCAAGGTATTGCAGCGGTCCTCGTGGTGGCCGTGACATGATTATGGAGTTGTGGCCTTTGTGTAAGGTTCACGTTTTGGGGGGATAACATGTGTTATTTGGGCATGTGTTGCCTTGTACGGTACCTTGTGTACTATGAATTGGTGGTCTCGTTGGTGGTCGTTGGTGGGGGACGACTGTCCCGGAGGAATAAGGTTGGACTATGAAGTACAGGGGTCCTGGAGGTAATGGTTGGAAGAAGATATAAGGTTGGGGGTAGCCAAAAGGTTGGAACAGGGCATAAGGAAGGCATATCAACTCGTGATGGGTGATGTTGCGAGGGCTTGTAAAGCCGGCGTTGTGTGTTCTTCTCTCGTGACATGTGTAGTCACGGAGGCATGTGTTGCTTTGGCATGTGTTGCCGTTGGGTGAGTCTTTATCCTTCGCGTTGTGGTTAGCCTTTGTGGTTTGGGATGTGTTCCCGTGTTATCTTTGTGAGTGATGAGTCTTGTGTTGACTGTTGATCTTGGTTTTGACTTATATACTTATGTATTCCGTTTCTAAAATGGTTTTACACCTTATATCTATCTATGTATGATATTTCACATGTATTGGTGGGTTACCAGCATCTATCGCTGACCGGGCGTCGTCCCAATATTTATCTTTGTATCTTTCAGGTGATGTTTAGACGAGCGCGATGTCTAGTGCCAGGTAGCTTAGTACCCTTATCCTTGTTTTGTGTCCTGTGCGCCAATGTAGTTAGACTGATGTTTTTGGGATAGATGTATACACTTGCAGATTGTTTGCCGTAGCGTTTACTGTGTTTGGTAGACGTGGCGTGACAGCCCGTTCGGATTTCTTTTATCCAGTTCTCGTTTTTATCTTCCGTTGTGCTAGTTTTGTTGTTTAATCTGCATGTGTTAAGGCTTTTATATAGGTTTTGTTTGGGGGGTGTTACATATCTAGAGCTTGTGTTTAGGGTTCCTTTGTGCTATTGCTTGGCATTTTCCATGATTCAAGTCATTTTGTTGAGTTCGGTGAGATTGGGCATGTTTTGGACTTGAATTGGTGTTTGGAGAAGAAAATCCTCGAAGGGATTATTTTGCACAGGTAGATGTACCCGAGGGCGGAACGACGGGTCGAGCTCCACCCGCCGCCCACCCGCGGGGAACAAAAGCCTCGTGGGTAGTGTACCCGTGGGCGGAACCACGGGGGGGGGGGGGGGAGCCTACCCGTTGGTCCACCCGCGGGGAACGCAGAGGAGTTGGATTGGGATTTGTTCCCCATGATTCGTTTGAATCGGTATTTAGTCTTTTGACTTCCCGATGTTCTTTTGTGGAACTTTTTGAGCGTCTTCTTGATGTTTCGTATGTCAAGAACTATATGGTAGGTATCCATGTAGGACTTTGGTGTCTTGAATCGTGCTAAGTGTTCAACATGGTGTTTCGTTGGACCAAGAGGTGTCTTGTGTGTTCCTCAGAACTATCTTGAGTTTCTCCGTTGTTAAGCATGCTAGTTTATTGTCTTAATGCTAGCGTGTGTGTTGTTAGTACCTTCCGTTTGGTTGATGATAACTTGTGTTATTCATCGTTAATGTTGTTGGGTTGTGACCCGTTCCTTGATTGAGTATGTGTCATACCTTCGTTGTGATCCGTTGTTTGACTCTTGTAGAGTTGTGGTGCGTGTGTGGCTTTACCTGGATTGCACGATTAGTGGTATGGGACACTAGTCACCAAGGTATTGCAGCGGCCCTCGTGGTAGCCGTGACGTGATTATGGAGTTGTGGCCTTTGTGTAAGGTTCACGTTTTTGGGGGATAACATGTGTTATCTGGGCATGTGTTGCCGTGTACGGTACCTTGTGTACTATGAATTGGTGGTCTCGTTGGTGGTCGTTGGTGGGAGACGACGGTCCCGGGGGAATAATGTTGGACTAAGAAGTACAGAGGTCCTGGAGGTAATGGTTGGAAGAAGATATAAGGTTGGGGGTAGCCATAAGGTTGGAACAGGGCATAAGGAAGGCATATCAACTCGTGATGGGTGATGTTGCGAGGGCTTGTATAGCCGGCGTTGTTTGTTCTTCTCTCGTGACGTGTGTAGTCACGGAGGCATGTGTTGCTTTGGCATGTGTTGCCATCGGTCTTGTCTTTATCCTTTGCGTTGTGGTTAACCTTTGTGGTTTGGGATGTGTTCCCGTGTTATCCTTGTGAGTGATGAGTCTTGTGTTGACTGTTGATCTTGGCTTTTGACTTATATACTTATGTATTCCATTTCGCAAATGGTTTTACAACTTATATCTATCTATGTATGATCTTTCACATGTATTGGTAGGTTACCAGCAATTAGCGATGACTGGGCGTCGTCCCAATGTTTATCTTTGTATCTTTCAGGTGATGTTTAGACGAGCGCGATGTCTAGTGCCAGGTAGCTTAGTACCCTTATCCTTGTTTTGTGTCCTGTGCGCCAATGTAGTTAGACTGATGTTTTTGGGATAGATGTATACACTTGCAGATTGTTTGCCGTAGCGTTTACCGTGTTTGGTAGACGTGGCGTGACAGCCCGTTCGGATTTCTTTTATCCAGTTCTCGTTTTTATCTTCCGTTGTGCTAGTTTTGTTGTTTAATCTGCATGTGTTAAGGCTTTTATATAGGTCTTGTTTGGGGGGTGTTACACCACCCGCGGGGAACATGTATGATGATGGGCAGGGATTTGTTCCCCGTGATTCTTTTGACTCGGTATTGATGTTTTGACCTCCCAATGTTATTTTATTGGGCTATTTGTGAGTCTTCTTGATGTTTCGTATGTCTAGAACGGTATGTTAGGAATCCATGTAGGATTTGGTGTCTTAAATCGTGCTAAGGGTCCAACCTTGTGATTCGTTGGACTATTGTGAGTCTTGAATGTTCTATGGAACTACTTTTGGTTTACCCGTTTGATGAGCATGCTAGTTTGATGTTGAAATGCTAGTGTGTGCGGTTTGTTCTTTCCTACTGAGATTGGCAACTTGTGTTGACCATCGTTTGGTGTCGGATTGTGATCCTTCGTTGTTGAGTATGGTTTCATATCTTTGTTGTGATCCATTGATTTATTCCTATGATGCGAACGCATGTAATCGTTGTACCCTTTGATTGATGTTTGATTAAGGTTATTGTTAAACCTTAGTCTTCTTGGTAATGATGATGACTTGTGTGACCATGATTGAAATTGGTAGTGTGTTACCTGAGCAAAGGCTCATGTGTTGGAGGCTATGTGATTGAAATTAATTGTACCCTCGTGTACTGAGAGTTCGGCGGTATGTTGGAGGCTATGTTGGAGGGGGGACGACGGTCCCTGGCGGTACAAGGTTGGACTCAAAAGTACAGGGTGACACTCGGAGGTAATGGTTGGAACTGAAATAAGGTCGGGGTAGCCATAAGATAGGAACAAGGCATAATGTTGGAACTTGGAACTGTGATACTTGTGACATGTAGTTGTCACTGTGGCGTGTAGTTGCCAAATGTGTGAATGTGTATTCTTTGCTATTGAGCATGTCTTGATGTATTCTACTTTGTGTTAAATAGAATGCATCTCGAGTTGTATTGTCTAACATGTTTCTTGTCTTGTTGTTGTCGTAAGGATGTTGATTTCCTTTCCTTTTGAGAGTGTGAATGAGTCCTTGAATATGACTTCTCTCTTGGCTTTGAGATGATATATACTGTATTTCGTTTCGAAAATGGTTTTTACTTATACTTATCTATATATGTTATTTAACACGTATTGATGGGTTACCAGCAATATTCGCTGACCGGGTGTTATCCCCATGTTATGTTCTCCTTGTTCTACAGGTTTTGAGTAGAGACCCGGGTGCGCTAGACTTGGAGCATTAGATAGTTTTGTCCTTGTCTAGACGTTTTGTTGCTAGCCTGTGAGCCTTTTGAGCGGCTTGTGTGCCTTGACTCTTTATACTTTGATGAATGGTTTAGTTTTTCCCGCCTGTGCATCTTTTAGTGTTTAAGATGTGGCATAATGCCCCCGTATAGACTTGCTTCTGCTTAATGTTAATGGTTTATTAGATTGTTTTTCTCTTGCAATTAAGTTTTAAAAATATGGTAAAATCGGGGGTGTTACAGTTGGTATCTGAGCTAGGTTTGAGCCTAGGATGTTAGAGTCTGAACTTTAAGAAGTTAAGTGTGGTTTGAGACCCAAAGATGACCTTTAAGTATCTCAGGACTTAGGGCTTCTAGGACGCGTGGTGAGCTGTGTGTTGTTTCCGTTTGTTCTGTTTGCTTTGTTATTTCTGCTTAGCTTTAGCATTCATGTAGTTAGCGCCAGGTAAGGGTGCGCTGTTTGTTTGTGCCTACCGCAACCCTGTTGTTTCTGTAGAAGTTTCGTCATAGCTCCGCCTCCCCACCGCACCCGTACGCCTGAGACGCCGACCAACGAGCACCTGGCTCAGAAATTGCAACATCTCACGCAAACGATGCAGACCTTGAGTGAAGCCCATCTGCACAACAACCATCCTGCTCCGCCGCCGCAGCCTGCCGGGAATCGGGATGTGGGACGTCTAGTCTTGAGACATAGGCCACCGGTGTTCGCTGGAGAGGAGGATCCCGTGATACTCGAGGAGTGGATCCGGTCCCTCGATAAGATCTTCGCCGTTGTAGGTTACCCTGTGGATCGACGAGTAGAGCTGGTTTCTTTCTACTTCAGTCACGAGGCTGATCTCTGGTGGGTACATGAGGGACCCGCGTGTCAAGAAGAGCCCGACTTCGATTGGACAGCCTTGAAGGACAGGATGAGAGAGAGGTTTTATCCATCGCACGTCCGAGCCGCCATGTACGAGGAGTTCTTACATCTCCAGCAGGGCTCGTCATCTGTGGTGGAATACCAAAAGCGCTTTTTGGAGCTTGCCTGTTTTGCAAGGACGCTAGTCTCCACCGAGCTCGCAAAGGTGGAGAAGTTTGTGGCAGGGCTCAACTATGAAGCCCGGAAGGCATTGACTGTGAGCAAGCCAAGTACCTTGAAGGAGGCTTATCTGAGCGCGGCCGATCTGTACCGGGTGTAACATTTGCAGCGAGGGTCGTTTGGGTTCGTCAAGAAGAGGAATGAAGGAAGTGGGGCCCATACTTTCAAGAATCCGAGACAGGACTTCCGATCCAGACCCGCGTCCTCCCCGCCTCAAGGAACAACTCGGGCGGAGAATGGAGCTCAAGAGAGGACTTTTGCATGCAAGAAATGTGGAAAGGATCATGTGGGAAATGATTGCCAATGACTTGCACTCCGATGTTTCAAGTGTGGGGGAAGAGGGCACAAGGCATTTGAATGCCGGTTCCAACCCAATCAGAGAGCTTCACCATCCGGTGTGAGACCTAGTGGACCCGCGGGAGGGAGTGCCAGTCGAGGTGTAGCTGGAGCGAAGCCTTCGGGCCGAGTGTTCGTGATGGGCCGGTCCCAAGCTGAGTCTGAGGGTTTGGTGGAGGAAGAGACGGCAGGTAACCTTTCCTTAAGCCTACCTTTATCTTGAGAGTGTGCCATTTCTATGTTGTCTTATTTTTTTGTTATGTGATCCTCTTAGGCCTTTCAAGTGACTTGTGATTCGGTTGTTAATTCTGAGTGGTTCAATGTTAGTTGAAATCCCGAAGCTTTACGAGTATAATTCTAATTCAAACCTCTTTCCTTTGGGTCATCCAAGCCTAATTTTTTTACCCTTGAATTTAGAGTAGTCAACTTATAGAAAATCCCTTCAAGAGAAGCCTAAAAAAACAAACAAGATTTAATTCATAACCATTAAGTTTTAAACCCAAGTGTCCAAGTTTTTAACCAACCTTTAAACCATTTAGACTAATTTTATTTCTTAAACCCTATCCCATTTAAATTCCTTTTAACCTATAATTTCTATCTTAACAAAAAAAAAAAAAAAAAAAAAAAAAAAAAAAAACCCCAAATTAAAATCTTCTTTTCCCAAATTTTCCCCAAAATTTCCCAAACCCTTCTTCTTCTTTTTCCCCTCCACCCGCAAGCCACCTGAGAACCTCCCCTGCCCGTCGTCGACCCGCCCCATCGCAGTCGGAGTTTCGCCGCCGCCATGCCTGCCCGTCGCCTGCCTCGCCACCGTGAAGCCGCCGCCCTTCGCCGTTCGCCGTTGCCCAGCCGAAATCGAAGCCGAGAGAAGAGAAGAAGAAAAAGAAAGGAAGAAGAGAGTTTTGGGTCTACCTTGAGTCTTTGGGTCATCTCAGAATCATGCCTAGGAGGTCTAACTTGATAAGGAGGGTGGAATGGGTGGATGCCCACTACCTAGTTGTAACACCCCGTGTTACGGCCTCCAATCCCGAATTAATTATTTAATTAATCCCGTTAATAATAATTAAATATGATTTTATTCGGTTAGGTTTCCTTTAATTAATTAATAAGGTCCACCATGAACCGTGGATCCTTGCCTAAATTAGAGTCCTAAGCCTATTAGGAATAAAGAAAGTAAACCCTTTACTATTCAGATTCTAATTAGGAATCCTAGACCTAGTTATCTATTAGGAATAAAGGAAGTAGGCCTTTTACTATTCAGACTACGATTAGGATTCCCTCTAATTAATTAATATGGTCCACTATGGACCATGGACCCTTATCCCTAAAATAAGCCCTTAGTCCTATAAGGAATAGAATTAGTAAACCCATACCATTCAGACCCTAATTAAGAGTCTTAAATATATAAATAGGGATATAGGAGGCACCTAGATCCCCACCACAATAATCCCTCACCACACAAGGAGTTCCAAGAATTCCCCTAGGAGAAATCAAGAAAGAAGAAAGCTTCAAGAAAGACCCTTCATAGCCAAGGAATTAATTAAGGCTAAGAGGTAACCCATGTCTCAACAAAACCTATTTTCATAGCTATGATTTCCCCCGTAGGAGTTCCCCATATTATTGTGTATTGATGATTTGTGATATTATTATTGATGATTGGTGGGATAATTCCATGGGTGATCTTGATGATAAAAGGTTCTTGATAATTATGGTGTTCTTGATGATTATATGACGTTCTTGATGATTATATGATGTTCTTGATGATTGTAGGATGTTCTTGATGTTTATGTGATATTCTTACCGAATCTTGATATTAGAAGATGAATTGTGCCCTTGTTGATTTAAAAATGATTAGAACCCTAGATTGTATCGTATCGAATTATTCTTGGTATATTGGGTGGGAATTCGCATGATTGGGTGTTGATTATGTTTAGAAAAGCATGATAGGTTATGTGCCATATATTTCTCGATCTTTGATCCGTTAATTGTCTACGTGTGTTATCAATTGCGTTTGAAAGTGTCTAAGAATGGTTTCGGGTTCCACAAAGGTTCCCGGGGCGTTTTTGGTGAAAAGAGTCAGTGGGGGGTAGGTGGGGTTAGGGGACCCGCCACCTACCCGAGGCCTCCTTGGACAACGCCGGCAGCGGGCAGCCGGCGGGCGGGCAGCTGCCCGCCGGGCACCCGCTGCCCGGATTAGCTACCGCCGGCGGGTGATCCCTCACCCACCGGCTACCCGCTGGTTTGGACCCCACTTTGGGATTTTGGCTTCCCCGTTTGATGTTCCCCCGACCCCCGTGGTGTCCCAACGGACTCCGTCTATCGTGCTTATGTCTAGTTTGATATTTCGGGTACCGTTCGTAGGTTGTATGAGTCTTATATATTGCATGCTAGTTGAATTGGTATCCCGTTGACCCAGGTGCAAGAAGTATGAACCCCTTAGGATTATTCTTAGTATGTGAAGGATCACGCATAGGTTTTGTTATACGTTTTCTCCCCCTTCCCAATGTGTTAATGTGGATTGCATGTGCTTGCTATGTGTTATGTGTGCATGATACCCCAATTCGGTTGCGATCGGATTGGTTATTCCTGAGCTGCGGTTCAGAAGCTGGCTGCGGTCAGATTTACACTCTTGGGCTGCGGTCCACCGTTTGGTTGCGATCAAACGTTTCTACATGAGCTGCGGTTCATATTTCCTGGCTGCGGTCAGATGACATACTCTTGGGCTGCGGTCCACTGTTTGGTTGCGATCAAACTATGATGAGTTGCGGTTCATCGGTCGGTTGCGATCGACTCCTCCGTGTTGCGATACGGGGCAGGGTGCTGCGGGGCCGTGTCAGAGCTATATGAGCTGACCCTCATTTATGGGCATGCGATTGGTCCTGTGGCGCCAACAAAGTGTGCTATGTGTTGAGATACGGATGAGTTGTTGTATGAGTACCTTGCGGATGTGACTATGGGATTTATACTGGGAATCGTATATGTTGGGTTATGATTATTAATTATGCTTATCTTTACCTGTCTTGCCTGTCTGTAACTATATATGCTTGGTATAACTGTTGTCTGTGCTTAGCTCTATCCGTCGAGTCTATCCCTGATTTAAAAGCTAGAGTTCGTAAGGATATATCTTCATGTTCAAAATGGTTTTCGTATATCTATATATATATATATATCTCTATATGTATTGTATTTCAACGCGTTGGAGTGGGTTACCAGCATCTCTCGCTGAACAGATATATTTGGCTTTCAGGCACAGACGAGTAGATCACTGGAGCGCGCTAGAAGCTTGGGGCGTAGCTTAGATAGTTTTCCCTTTCGGCCTGCGTGCCATGATTTAGTATTGATACTGATTGAGGTTTTAGAATTTAGCCTATGCACCCGAGTTCACTAGCTCGGGTGTGGCATAGCACCCCTAACTCTTTGTATCGTATTTTGGGATTTAATGAGATTCTATCTTTATTATATAAGTTTTGAAAAGTCTTGAAAATCTGGGGTGTTACAGTTGGTATCAGAGCCTAAGTTTGACCCTAGGATAAGACTCTTAAGACTGGCCTTTAGGACATTAGGCTTGAACTCTAGGTACTTAGGATCAAAGGATTCAGGAATCTTAGGACGCACGGTGAGATTGTGAAACCTACACGTAACCCCCCCCCCCCCCTCACCTTATCCCTCTCTAACTTAAAATAACTTCCCCCTACGCTTACCACACCAAGGTAAGGGTGCAGCACACTGACTCATCGATACAATAAATATTGAACCTGAAAACCAGCAGCATGGCGCCAACAAGAAGACAGTCAAGGATCCCACACTCCTCGAAGAATGAAACCGAACCTTCAACAAAGTCATCGGGTTAGTGGAATACCCAGAGGAACGCCGCGTAGGGATAGCCTCATTCCACTTCAAGACACGAGGCTGATCTTTGATAAATCCACGAAGAACCCACTTATGGGCAACAACCAGGGGTTCAACTAGGAGTTCCTAGGGGCACGGCTACGGGGACGATTCCACCCTGCACCTGGAAGGGCAACCATGTACGAGGAAAATCCTCCACCTAAAACAAGGGATGACCACCATCAGGGAATACCACAAACGATCCCTCCAGCTGGCTCGTTTCGCGCCTGAATTAGATCCTACAGAGACAACCAAGATAAAGAAGTCTGTGACAGACCACAACTACGAAACCCAGAAGGCCCTAATTGTAAGCAAACCCCGCACACCCAACGAAGCCTACACCAGTAATGACAACTTCTACCAAACGGGGAATTTAGGGACAAACCCGAAAGAAGGAGTAACGGAAGTGGGAGACCGCTCCCTCCAGCATGAGCGAACCCTTCCGGAACTGGTTAAGAATGGGCGCAACTATCCCAGCCCGGAGACCGGGAACGCCAATTAAATGCAAGAAAGAAAAGTAGTACATAAACAACGTCTTTTCTCAATCGTTAGCACGAATTGTTGAAAAGGACTCGATATGACAAGAAGAGGCAACAGACGCATGGAAAGTATCATACAACTAGAGCCTCCCGGCGATAAGGGTCTTACCTGGGAACAAGGACCTTGATGGTTTTATGACACCGTAAGAAGTACATGTAACACACAAAATCGCCAAAACACCATGCGACGTCAAAGGCTGTCAATCAATGCATTCCAAGGAAGAGAAATGCATCACCAAGCACTTGGTCACCAAAGGACTGAACAAAGAACAAGCGACAAGCCGAACTCCAAGAAAAACCAAGAAGGCTTATCATTAATCAAGCAAGGCAAAGACAA